TGTTGCTGCATTTTGCTGCTTCTTTCAGCTGGGTTGGGGACTGATTTTGGGTTGATGGGACAAGGCGGAACTCCGAAGGTTACAGACAGTAGAGTTTTGTAGTTAAAGATGGCAGTTTCTGGTGGTTTACAATGACTTAGTTCGAGCTTTAATGGCTGCTTTCCTGGCCTCTATGGTGGTTTCATGGTGGGTTGAGGTGGTTTAGTTAAGTAGAAAGGAAGAAGAGATGCTAAGTTGTGGTTGCTTCAGCTAGCTACTATGTCGCTCTAATGAAAAAATGACTTTACGCGCCCAAGACGTTGTTAGCAAACACGCATATGCCACATCAGAACCATGTGTTTACTTGATACACTTAATAATCACTTGAAGTGTCTAAATCGTAAATGGGTCAGTTGACGTGTTTGTTTGACCGTTAAGGACAACTTAAAGAGGTTGTTTATGTATTTCACCTTCTTTTTGGAATTGATTTAAAAATGAAATATTGTCAGTTTGTCACATAAATTGAAACAAAGAATACTACACTCACCATAGTTAATAATTCAAAATATTCATAATATATTTATGAATTTTGCGATCAAAGAACAATCACTCCCTTGATAGTAATAGCACCACATAAGAGGGTGTATTAGTGTTCTTACCATCTACATGGTGAACTGGTCGACCTCCTTCAACTTTAGTTATTTTAATAAAGTTAGTTAGGTAGTTAGATAAGAAATGGGCAAATGACCTCTATTATAGCCTCTTAATTAATCCACGAACATTTGTAACAAATACGTTAAAATTAACTGAAACAGTTAGCTAAAGTAAATCATGGTGAGCATTTAATTCTCCATTCACGGCTGAGATTATTTCCTATCCAAACTAATACAAGGAATGGCATCTGACAGAGTAGTTATGCATAATCCAATTGGTAAACACTATTTTCCTATTTTTCAGACTCCATCAAACCCTCTCTCCTCATTCTTCACATGTTTCTCTTGGTAGATCTAACCTTCAGCAGCTGTTACGGACACTCTCGAACTATATATTAAATTGAAATTTACATACATTTTACTTAGTTTCCAACAATTGTGACAAAAGTGTAGTGGGTGCATAAATACTCGCACCCACTAACTTAATTTACTTATTGGATCCGCTTCTACGTTTTCTGTTGACCCTTATTTTCTTTCGTGTACATCGTAACACCTTCTGTCAATGCCGATCCAACTGCAACACCACCATATTATATATAGAATCAATTCAGTTGGATTTCTTTAGCTAGCTATTTCATCTTGCAAACATAGAAATATTCCAACTTTGAGTCATTAATTGAGTTGTAATTTTGCCATGGCAGGTCCTAGAACACCCCCATATTATAGCCCAACTTACAAGCCCAATGCAGCCAACTTTCCTTCTTCTCCTTACTCTATAAGAATTAATGTTTATACATTGGCCATAGCCATTACGTTCCTCTGCTCTATTACTTATCTCTTTGGCAGAGGATCCATTTCCACCTCTCCTGTTTCTAATGTTGCAGCTACCATCCCTTGCATTCCCTTGAAAATAACATCCACTGCTGCCGCTTCCAATAATTCCAAACTATCATCGTCTTCTTCTTCTTCTTCTACATCGTCACAACTAGACTTCAGCGCCAACCAAGGTGATGACGAAGGTGAAGGCGTAGCGCCTGATGATAGTGTCAAAGTTTACCCGGCATGTGACATCAAGTACAGTGAGTATACTCCGTGTGAGGACCCTCAAAGATCGTTGAAGTTCAAGAGGGACAGATTGATTTATAGGGAGAGGCATTGCCCTGACAAGAGCCAATTGTTGAAATGCCGTATCCCCGCGCCCTACGGTTACAAGAAGCCCTTCAAGTGGCCTAAGAGCAGGGATCTGGCATGGTACGCCAATGTGCCACACAAGGAATTGACTGTCGAAAAGGCCGTACAGAATTGGATCCGAAAAGAAGGAGACAAGTTCAGATTCCCTGGTGGAGGGACTATGTTCCCTAATGGTGCTGATGCCTATGTTGACGACATTGACAAATTGATCAATCTTAAAGATGGTTCCATTAGGACCGCTATTGATACCGGCTGTGGGGTAATTTACCCTTTTTCTTAATGGCTAGACGAATTGTAGGATCCCATTTATCTAAACAAGTTGTGACAATCTATATATGCAGGTGGCAAGTTGGGGAGCTTATCTTTTGTCGCGGGATATCCTAGCGATGTCATTTGCACCGAGGGATACACACGAAGCGCAGGTTCAATTTGCTCTTGAGCGAGGCGTTCCTGCTTTGATTGGAGTGCTCGCGTCCAAGAGACTTCCCTATCCATCTAGAGCTTTTGACATGGCTCATTGCTCTCGTTGCCTTATTCCCTGGGACCAGTATGGTACGTATAATTGATTAAGTAAATAAAAGTGTGTTCTCTAACGTAATTCAATAATGCTTTCTAAATTTGGTTGTACATGCATGCTATAAAAAATTACTTGCATTTTGATCAGATGGAGAATACTTAATGGAAGTTGATAGAGTGCTGAGGCCTGGTGGATATTGGATACTCTCCGGCCCACCAATCCGCTGGAGGAAATACTGGAAAGGCTGGGAAAGAACAAGGGATGACCTAAATGGGGAACAAACCAGAATAGAGGAGGTAGCTAAGAAACTTTGTTGGAAAAAGTTTGTTGAAAAGGATGACATTGCAATTTGGCAGAAGCCATACAATCATTTCCAATGCAAACAACAAAAGAACAAGTTAATGTGTCCTGCCCAAGATACTGATAAAGCCTGGTTTGTGCTTTTCAACTCCTCACAGTTTTAATATTATTCCTTCTGTTTTATTTTACATGGCGCTGTTTGACTAAGGCACGACGTTTAAGAGAACCTGTTCTGAAATAGCATTAATCTTGTTTCGTGTTAAATTCATCATTTGCAGGTATACGGAGCTTTCGACTTGCATAACTCCGTTGCCTCAAGTTTCAAGTGAAGAAGAGGTAGCTGGTGGACAATTGGAAAAATGGCCTAAAAGATTACACGCAATACCACCAAGGATTAGCAGTGGAACTGTTAATGGGGTTACGGCTGAATCTTTTGAGAAGGATTCACAGCTATGGCAAAAAAGAGTTTCTTATTACAAGAGCGTAGATAACAAGCTCAACCAACCGGGCAGATACAGAAATCTTTTAGATATGAATGCTTACTTAGGTGGTTTTGCTGCTAGTTGGGTTGATGACCCTGTTTGGGTAATGAATGTTGTTCCTGTTGAGGCTGAGGTCAATACTCTTGGTGTCATTTATGAACGAGGATTGGTTGGAACATATCAAAACTGGTAAGTTATTCCTAGGTCCTTCTATACAATCAAACGATTTCTCATATCGACCTGCTTCCCTTTATTAAATAATGGGCTAAGGGCGAACCTCTAACCTAATTGTTTTAGTTATGACCAGCCGAAGACATGCCCTCTAGATGCTGCCTTATTCCTGCTTATGCATACTTCATGGCTGATAGGCCTACACACGCTTGTCCCCTCCTGCCTCCCCCCCCCCCCCCCCCCCCCTAAAAAAAGCCTCTAGCATCGATGTTCTTTAGGTACTTGTAGTTGAACGAGCAGGATAAGGTTGTGAGTATTTTATCGAATATGTACCCAGGGGCAAAGCTACACTCTAGTAAGGGTGGTCAATTGACCACCCTTCGTCGGAAAATTACAAGCGTGTATATAGGTAAAATATTAGGTTTTAGAGGTATATAACATATATTGAACACCCTTTGTCGGGGATTTCTTTTTTACTTCTTTCAAGTTTGAAAAAATTCCTGGCTTCGCCATTGTATGTACCTGACTACATGTTAACAGTACCAGAATATATACATGTTAACGACTCATGTAACTTAGTCTAGCATTGAGGCTTAGGTATATTTGTATTTAAAACGAAATTTTGATTGTAGGTGCGAGGCCATGTCAACTTACCCAAGAACATACGATCTTATTCATGCTGATTCAATATTTACTATGTATAAAGACAGGTAACTAAGTTCTACTACTATTATGTTAAATTCTAACATCTTATTTCCCATACAAAGACAGCATTGTAATTGTGAATTCTGAGTGTGTGTTATCATATGATATGTAGATGTGAAATGGAGGACATATTACTAGAAATGGATAGGATATTAAGGCCAGAAGGAAGTGTAATAATTCGAGAAGACGTAGATATATTGGTTGAAGTAAAGAAGATAGCAGATGGGCTGAAGTGGGATACTCTAATTGTGGATCATGAAGATGGGCCAATGGAGAGAGAGAAGCTTCTCTTTGCAGTCAAGTCTTATTGGACTGCTCCAGCTACTCAAGATTCTAATAACACCTCCACCAACCCAAGGATGTTCTAATTTTGTGTTTAAATTACCCTAAACTCTTGTTCATCTGCTTTTTCCCTTCTTTTTTTTTTTTTTTTTTGAGTAAAGTGCAACATTTTACTCTTTTTATTAAATTTTGTATAGGCTAGTCTGTCTAAGCTTTTAAAAGTTTGTAAACCAATTCTATTTGTCCCTTGATATGACTAATAGATTTGTTTAGCTTGAAATGTATCAATCAAACTCTTATTTGATTTTTTCCATTTTTATCTTCTTTCTCCTTTTTAACTAGCAACTTACTCTGCTAGACATGGAGAAACAAGAAGAGAGAATAAAAGATTATGAGAAGGTCAATAGCAGCTGAAAAAGGGCCAAATATCAGCCCTGATGTACATATTGTAAAGAAATAAATATATAATTAAGAACTACATAGATATAATACTACTAAAATAAAGTTAAAGAAAGAAGTATTTATGTATAATAACAGTGCCAAACAAGTTGAAATGAAGGGTGTAATATATCATGATCCAACTACAATGTGCGGGCAAAGGCAAACACACAAGAAAACTGACTTGCCAATGTCTTCAATTAGTTAGTTCACGCAAAGGGTCTCATCTTCCAAACAAGTTTAGCTCTGTGATCATCAACTATAAATACTTCTCCCCTGGGACAAGAAAAAGCAAGTCAGCTACTTTAATTTTCTTTCAGCAATCATTTTGAGTAAGAACTATTCGACCAAATATGGCTAACATCAAGTCAGTTGTTTCACTATTGCTGTTGGGTATGCTGGTGATTGTGCTGCAAAGCAGAGTGATTGAGTGTCAGCAGGGGCAGACATGCTCGGCATCACTTGGGAACCTGAACGTGTGTGCGCCATTCGTGGTGCCAGGGGCACCTAATGCAAGCTCTGAGTGTTGTGCTGCACTCCGATCAATTGATAATGACTGCATGTGCAACACTATGCGCATTTCCGCCCGCCTTCCCTCTCAGTGCAACCTTCCTCCCCTCTCTTGTGCTGGTCAGTATTCACCAATTTTATTAGACTAGTACTATAAAAAGAAGCTTACAGTGATCAAGATTATGTTACATTTCAACTACTGTCTACTGACTTGAATTCTATTTCTTTGCAGCAAACTGAGTTTGATGGAGTCCGTGCCTACCAGTTCCCGGTCAATGGGCGAATAATATCATAGTTCTAAAATAAATAATTTACTTTGTCCCTTCTATCTTTTTTTTTTTCCTTTTTCCGCGGTGCTCTTTATGCTAATGTCGCTCCTCTGTTCTATAACAGAGCAAGGTCAGGAAAGAGTTTGTATTGTCATATGAAATCAATAAAACAAACACTTGAGCTTGCAAATTATTTACGATGTTTTTCTGACTTAGTTTTGTCAATGTATCGCCTCACTAATACCGGAACATAGCCAGCTAGTATCCGCCAATCAATGAATCAAACAAAATCTATGACATTGTACGAGTTCTTGACTTCTTGCCCAACTTTTGGCATGCTTTAGGATATCGGAAGTTGTTTCTACTGCTTTTGGCATACCAAAACCCAGTCGCTGGGCGAATAATATGGTAGTTCTGCAATCAATCTGTTTCAAAAAGATTAGATTTGCACGAGGTTGTTCTTTGACCATATTTTTCTTAAATATTTTATAAATATTTTGAATTATGAATTATTATGACTTATAATACATTTTATGTAGTTTCTGAAAATGTAAATTTTATTTTTAAAAGTTGAAGAACCTATGTCCAAATTTACAGTCAAAGTAAAGTATTTTGACTCTCATACTCCGAACTATGCCAAACTTGGCGCTCTTTATGTTGATAATTTGAAATTCTATTTCTTATTTCCCATGATTGTAAGTTGATTTCTAATGCCTTGGCAAAAATAACACAGGTGGTTCTTTGATAATTTGGTGAAAACAACCGGGAGGGTGGTGATAATCAGGGGCGGATGTAGTGTTATATCCCCGGTCCAATTGAGCACATAACTTTCAGATACAGAGTATAAGTTTGTGTATAAAAATAAACTAAAATTACAACAAATAGTAGATACGAACTCATAACTTCAAATATATAATAAGCTTATTGTTAAAAACCTTAAATGTATTACCAATTTTTGATGAAATACTGTTCTCTTAAACTACAACTAGTAAATATTTTGGGGCCAAATTCTGGGGCACTTTACAAGTACCATTTACCGTTTGAGACCAAAATGAAGGGGCCCATCATATTTTACAGATCAGTATGACACGTATCGCTATGCCATAAACGAAGTCTGAAAGCAGGACCAACCCACCCATATTCCCCCACTACCACGCATTGCCATAGAAACAGTTATATAGTACTCACTATAAATGACAACGAAGACGAGTTGCAGGTATATTTTCGTAAAGATAACTATATTGATATAATTATTAAGGAATCTTTGGCTCACCACTAAAATAATCCCCCCTGTTTCGAAACGTACAAATGAGAGGGTCTAGAGTGTTGAGAGCCAAAGTTTTAAATGTTTGATCTCAATTCAGACGTTACTTTAGTCATATTTCGAAATAAAGTTTAGATAATTATGAACTAAGTATAAAAGGACTATCGCTTATAACTCCTTATACTGATATTTATACAATATATTTTTTGTTTTTTCGCCCGGTGTCGGGTATCCACATTGGGGTTCGACTAAATCTGGATTCGTGCTGGTAAGTCCCACATTAGGGGTAAAGCATTCCCTAACAAAGGCGACTCCATACCAAAAACCCGAAAGCTCTGATATTTATACAATACATCAAAAGTAACAATAAAATATTGTTTGACTTTTCAAATAGTAATAATATCATATACAATGGAATAGATATTGTAACAATATAGGCATTTATTACCTTAAAAAGTCATTATGGATCACAATTTGATCTATTATTACAATAAATCATATGACATGAAATTGGGTACCTGTTATGCAACTGAGTATTGGAGAACGGACATTATAAAGAAAAATTGCCCGTCAAAACTTCGTGCAATAATCCAAATCATGCTCTGACACCAACGAAAGACTAAACTACGGAGCAGAAATTACCAATTGTGTACCTTTTTCATGCAATGAAAATCATTAAATTGCTACCATAATAGTTACCCTAAGTATCCTTCATTTTTCTTGTAAACAAAGTTCTAGCAAAAAGAAACAAAAAGAATTTGTCTGTTTAAAGAAGTGATGAAGAAAGCGCTTGGGTCTTCTTTGGACAGGAGAAATAATAATTATGAGAAAAAACTTAACTACTTCACTTTTTAATAGTATTTTATATATGTGCAGTTTTTGCAGATAGTAACATTCTAAGAGGGTGTTTGGATTGGCTTTTAAGCTGGTGAAATCAGTTATTAATCTCTTTTTAGTTTTTTCCGGTGTTTGACAAAGCTAAAATAAAAAAAGTTAAAAACTGCTTAAACAAGCCAAAAGCAATAAGTTATTTCTGGCTTAAAAGTTATTTTTGTTGAAAAATCACTTTTTAAAACCAATCCAAACGGGCCAGCCCCAACCGACCTACAACCCAGACCAAATACCAAACAACATATATGATGAATCATATATAAAATCGTTTTCTAGCGCGAATAATCTAAAAGAAATATTTAATTGTAATTAGAGATAAACATTGGTTTCAATTAACATAGCATTGACTTATAAAAATCACATTATTCAGTTTAATATTTGTTAGCAAAGAATAGCGAGTGATTCCGTATTTGCTCTCTATACTCAAATGATTGAAATAGTTGTGTTAAGTACCATAAGTTAATTAGTTTTCTTATCATATGTGATAAAAACTAATTAAATATCAATCTTTACTACTAATAAATAGTACTAACACTTATGAAAATAAATTTATTATGGTCAACTAAGACATAAGATAAAGTAATTAATATAATTTTCTTCTAAGTATGAAAAATCCAGTCGAAGTCCCTCATTATAAATTTAAAATTAAAATGACTATATATAATCATTAGAAACAAACGGAATAATAAGAGTAACTCTTTTTTTTTANTATATATATATATATATATATATATATATATATATATATATATATATATATATATATATCTTTTAAAAAAACAATTACGTGCGCTTAAACTTAAGCTCTTAAAATAACAACCAAACATAATTAGTTATAGCATCATCAATACGGAATTTGATATATGCATTTTATATTTCAATTTGATACATCAAACAACTAATATGAACTCACAAACAAATGAAACAGAGGGGCAACCTAATTGGTGGGAATGCTCAGAATCTGCATGATGCATGAAGATTGACACTCTACGCTTAATCATTCACCTACTTTTCTGGTAAGTACAAAGTTGTACTATATACTTACTAGACATGAGTAAGTACAAGAAGATAAGGGTGTCACTCTGCAAAGTGCAGACCTTATTTAAATCACGTGTTTTAATTAATAGACAGATCGATAGAGTAATATATATATATATATTATTAAAGGAGTTACTACTATATTATTAAGCTAAAAGTGATTATTTGCATGTTTATATCTATTATGATGTAATTGGCTGGTTTAATTCATCTTCTTCTGGCAGCAGTTTCTCTCTGGGCATTGAAGTAGACAGCGGCAACTGGGCTTCCCAATCCATTCTCTGCCGTATACCTTCGAGTGTTGAAATGGTCTCTTGTTGCTGCTGGTTTCACTGTTTGCCTTCCGCTTTGTTTATACAATAAGAACACATATCGGTGAATCCCAATCACTGGTTTTGGACTCTCGTAGCTCACTATCTCTCTTCCTGTACAGTTGAATTTCTAACGTTATATATATTTCTCGAAAACATACTTAATTTAGGGAAGGTGTTGTTTACATAATTAAGTACTTAATTGTGCTCTCTAACAACTTAAACGATGACAACACACCTCAACTAAATTTGCCCATTATTACTTATCATTTCGAGCTACCATGATAACGAATAGTCAATTTGCTTACCAAAAGAGGCATCAGTAGAACCAGGAATATCTGTAACAATCCTGAAAATCCAAAACAAATGCGAAAGCCGATTAACGTCAATGTGATACCCATAACTGATGCAAAAGATTTGTTTACATGCTCTTTTATCAAAGATAATATAGTTACCAGTGGAGGTGTTCCCTCAAGTAAGGATCACTAGGACCTGGAACGTCTGGGTCAGTCATGATCTTTCCAGAGGAAAAAGAAAGGCAACAATATATCAGAAATATTTGAAAGTTTAGAAAATAACAGAAAATCTCAAAAATCAGACAGAGTAATTAAAGACAAAATTGTACTACTACATAGGTAGGTTTGTTACGGAGAATTAATAAAAGAAAATTACAAGGGTGTAAGCAGATCGCATGTCTTCGCCACCAATCTCGACACGAGGTTTAGCAGCAATGACAGGAGGCATGAGTTCATGCCCATTAAACACTTGTTTGCTACCGTTGTATATCACATTCAGTTTCACACTTGGGTTGAAACTGTCTACTACTTCTCCTATCACTCGTGCAACAACAAGTGGTTCAACAACCCTAGAAGCCATCTACTACTTCACCCTTTTGTTCTTCTTCTTTTTGGCGAGCTAGCTAGGGTAATCTAATTGTAGAAATCTGCGAGCTGGTTTGAAGAATGTTACTTGCGGGAGGAAATTATATATAGAACTCTAGAGAGAGAAGGAAAGGCTTGGATGTGAAATTCAAAGATTCGACGTGCCACAAATTAAAGGTTGTCTACATACGGAAAATACGAATGTTTGTATCAAGTAATTTCATGACGGAAAGACAAACCACTAGAGACTGTAGATAGTGGGCAACATAAATTTCTTTTCTGTGCTTCCTTCATTATCAAAGTTAATAAACTCATTCTATAGAGTCCATTAATCCCACTATTTCATTTTATGTGAAAAGATTCCAAGTACCAAGGTTAAAGTACTTAATCTTTCCGTATAAAATTCATATATAATAAGTAATAATTAAAAAGTTTGAAGCTACACAAGAAGTACTATAAGTAGTGATAGTCTATAAATCAAAATATTCCAAAAACAAAAAACTTTAATTTTCTAAATAGTAATAGTGCCTCATAAAAAGGAACGAAAGAATAGTTTTAGTTAATTGAAACCCGTGAAATATCTGACATATGATTTTGTTTATTAAAAAAGTGAACTAATAGCAAAGCCGGAAATATGTGGAGAATGTTGGTAAAATTACTACTCCCTCTGTTCTAGTTTATGTGAATCTATTTCCTTTTTGGTCCGCTCCAAAAAGAATGACACCTTTCTAAATTTGGAAACAATTTAGCTTAAACTTACAATTCTACCCTTAATGAGAAGCTTTTATAACCACACAAATACTCTGGGCCCCTTTTTGACTTGTTTAGGACCACAAATTCCAAAAGTCTTATTTTTTCTTAAACTTCATGCCCAGTCAAACAGGTTCACGTAAATTGGAACGGATGGAGTATCTTTTTTTCTTTTTGTTACTTATCTATGAAACTTACTAGTTTGACATAGTCGGATTTTCGGAGCCTAAATTCGGTTATATATATCTTAGTATTTTATACCGTATATTTTATTACCTTAAATACAGGCATGAGACTTGTGATGCTGGCCTTGGGTCAGTTGGTTATTAGAATGAGGAATACAGCGTTTTGAATTTGAAAACAATATTTTTAGACAACTGGGCGTTCAGCTTTTATGATTCTTGTGTTGTGTACAAATAAGGAATGGAAAGTGCATCTTTTGTGGAAGCAAAAGTACAATTTTTATGTTCCCTCAGCAACGATGCTTTGTTAGATTTGGTAATAACAAGGCATCTTATACAAACTCTTGGCCCCATTTACTATTATAGGGGTATGTGGTTGTAAAGCATGTACTTATATATTTTGCCTACTCTAATGAAACATGAAACATAATTTGTAACTTTAATTAGTGTGCTTGAATTGACATCACTTCTTATTTTGTTAATTCGGTAGCCGTGTTTTAGCATGAAAAAGAATCTGTAATAATTAAACAAACTAAACTATAAAGTGTAACAAAAGGTTTAATTTAGACGGCTATTTACCCCTTCATGCTAAGGATAAATTATTTGATTTGAAGTAAATACAGTGTACAAGTATTAGAGTGATTCACACTTTTCAAAGTGAATTTTGGTAATGGTCATAGGGAACTTAGTTCGAGGAGGAGATTATTGAGGGTGTGAACAAAATCTAACATTGGTAGCTCAAAAGATTGGAAACCTACATATAAAGATCTCTTAATGATATGAGGTCTTTTGAGAAATGTACAAGCTTAACCCAAAACGAACAACATCATATTATTAATACTATATATCTTCGTACTGGTTGAGCCCAACAAAATCCTTCTCATTTACCGAATCTTATTTTGGCTTTAATAATTTGTTGTTTAAAATTTACTAGTCCAATTAATCCAAATTCTTATTGGATAATTCATTAAAAAGTGAAGCGTTCTTTAACATGAGGTCTTTCAGTCTGAAGGCTCAAATTCGAGAGAGTGCATGTCATTTCACTCACTCGCAATTGCTAGAAGAAGCATGTAAATCATACTTCATTTGCAAAGATACTTAATACCGTATGTGTTTCAATTCATATGAAAGTATTCATCTAAAAGACGGAATTTAACGAAGAAAGAACTTTTCTAATTATATAAAAAGTATCTCTGGAACTTATAATCTCAAACATATCATTTTCTATGGCTATAAGAGCATGTCATAAGAATAAATAAAGAAATTTAAAATTAATTTTTTTTAAATATATAAATATATCATTCTTCTTTTAAATGAATTACTTAAAAAATATTACCGCATAAAATAGAACCAATAGAGTAAAAATGTGCCATGTGTCATTCTGAGAGGAAGGAATCTAAGGAAAGGAGAGCAAAGAGCATTAAAACGTCTGATGCTTTCTCGAGTGTTAACCAACACCAATAGCAGAAATAGCAGATGGGGTCTCCATTCTTCTCTTTCTAGTATAGAATTAAGAATTCTCCCCTGTGATGCCACGTCTTTTAGTTTTTGGGGAAGCCATAATTACAAAAGTGGTAGTATTTCTCAGCAAAGTAAAGCTTTCCCTATATTCTTGATCCCCACTTTCATTCTCAATTACTCTATCTTTTTTGCTTTATTCTCTAAAATTGACACGTTTCATAACTTTGCTATTTCTGGTAAAAGGGCCACTATTCCTCTTTCTAGACGTATGACTGCAGCATCTGCGGCGCTGCATTCTTCTCAAATGGCATCGTTTCCTCATTACAGCTGCTAAATCAATCAATGCATTGTTTTGTATGGTATAATGCCCATTATTCTCAAATGAATTAGTCATGAATGATTCTATTTCTTGCCAAAAATAGGAAAAGGGGAGTGAAAATGGATGCATTAGACAATGTATGAAAGACTAATCTGACTAGTTTAGACGACAAATGTTTGGTGCCATATTGCTAGTGCTACAACTAGGGTGCCAACAGTTCGGTTCGGCCGGTTATCTCATAAAATTGGTATCATACTAATTTTCCGATATCATCCCAATCATATCGGTTTCTCTTCGGTATCGGTATAGTTCGGTTAATCTTTGATATTTTTTAGTGTCATGTAAACTTCACTAGTCGAAGTAGAATGCAATAACATATGTACTTTTATAGGACTTCGTAAAATTCTCTAGACATTTTTACTAGTTAAAGGGTGATGAATTAAGAAAACTTGAAAGATTGTCAGAGTATAGATCTATTAACTATTCTATAGCAGTGTAAAAGAAACTATGCAAAGGCAAAAAAATATAAATCACACGAGTGGAAAGATATTAATCAAGCTTGGACTCAAGAATAAAGTCTATAGAAGATTAAATATTCAAAAAGAACAATCTTAATCATACGAAAAGAAACATATTCAATAGTACATTGTAGTTTGCTACTCATAATCGCTAAAATACCTTATGTCTTGCTAGTAAATATGCTGAAAATAATTTAATTTCAATAGGAGTAGCATAATAGGTTTGGAATTAGGATTTTGAGTTTAATTACTTGTTGGCTTGTAACCTGTGATGATGCGATAGGTCATTTTGAGTTAGCCTCTATTTCTGTGTTCCGAGGACTCGATTAGCTCCATTTACCGTTTCTCAATTTGTGTGCACAGTCCGTGTCTTGTTTCGGAAAGTCTTTATGTGAACAATTGAAGAAAATGTGAATTTTTGTCTTAAAATGATTTGAGTTGACAACGGTCAATATTTTGTGTAAACGGACTGGGATCAGTATTTTGACAGTCCGCGGTGGGTCCGTGTCGTGATTTAGGACTTGTGCGTATGCCCGAAATTGAATTCGAAAGTCCCTAACTTGATTTAACGTGATTTGTTGAAAACTAGTAGTTTGAAGGTTTAAAGAATTCCTAAGCTTGACCGTAGGTTGTCTTTGTTCCTAGCGGGTTCGGATTTCGGTTTCGAAACTTGGAATAGGTCCATTTTACTATTTATGACTTGTCTGTTTAATTTGGTATAAAACGGATTCGATTTGATGTGATTCGGACGTTCGGTTGTAAATTTGAAAGTTCTTAAGTTTCTTTGAAAATTTCATACATTTTGATGTCCGATTCTTTGTTCTAGGTGTTTTGATCGCACGAGCGAGTTCGTATGATGTTATTACACTTGTGTGCATGTTTGGTTTGGAGCCCGAGGGGCTCGGGTGAGTTTCGGATAGGCTACAGATTGATTTTTAAACTTAGATACCTGCTGGTTTTGCTGTTGCTGGTGTTTGTCATTTCGTGGTTCGCGATCGTGAAGGGGAAACTGGGACAGGGGCGGAACTTCTTCATCGCGACGCGATGGCATGGTCGCGAACGCGAAGCCCTAGGGGTTTACCCTTCACGAACGCGACCAGCCTCTTGCGAACGCGTAGGGTTATGGGGCTTGGGAAGGGATCTTAGCCATTACTCTTCGCAAACGCGACATCAGGACCGTGAACGCGAAGGCATGTGGGAGTAAGCCTTCGTGAACGTGAAGAGTGGCTCGCGAACGCAAAGGCCTTTGGCTGCTGCTGCTTTACGTTCGCGTCAGGTGTTTCGCGAACGCGATGAACACCTGACGCCCAATATTTAAAACTTCTTAAAATTGGGATTTAACCCATTTTTCACCATTTCCAAGTTCGAGCTCGACCTAGAGGCGATTTTGAAGAGAAATTTCATCCCAACTTCATAGGTTAGTAGATTTTAACTCGTTTTCTTTCATTTCCATCAACACCCATTGATTTTCAACCTTTAATCTATGCTTTTTCATGGTAGAAATTAGGGATTTAGGTAGAAAATGGGGATTTTGAGAATTTGGATATTTAGACGTCAAATTGACGTTGGATTTCGAAACTAATCACATAATCAGGCTCGGGAGTGAATGGGTAATTGGGTTTTGGTCCAAATCTCGAATTTTGATCAAGCAGGACCGGGATTGACTTTTGTTGACTTTTTCTAAAATTATTAAAGATTAAATCTTTTTCACTCGTGGGTAGTTTCTAAAGCTTATTTTTGAATTGTTTGAACTATATTTGGTTAGATTTGATTGGTTTGGAGGTGAATATAGAGGAAAGACCCCGGTTGAGCTTTGATTTGATTGCGTAGCGAGGTAAGT